CCTTATTCCTATTATTTTTTTTCTATAAATATATGATTAGTATGAGTTACCGCCTCTATTCACCGTTATTAGACATGAGAGTTACATTCTCCATTAATTGGTATTTATGTGTAATAATAGTAGAAACTAATCTGTGCGTAGTGAACATGTGCTTTGTGAACTTAGGCCACTAATCAATAAAGATTTAAATGATGAGAAACATATAGAAAATTTAATTACCCACTACCTCCAATACCCATTCAACTTCTTTTCTCTCATAACCACCTTCGTTTATAACTTATATTAATCAACCATAATTCAATCAGTTTCATTTCCTCTCACTTATCTCTCTTTCATCCCATCTTCTATTATAAATTAAGTCACTCATTCTCTTCAACCTACCACATCATCTACTAAGCCAAATTCCTAAAATCGTAAAATCAAACCTCGATTGCATGATTCTCTTCCTCTCATCAATAGCTCTTACAATTTGTGTCATTAGCATATGCTTGGTTTAGCGGTTTAGCCCTTGCCAAAGGCACGGAAAAGGCTAAGGTTCTCAATAGACCATTTACGGCTTTGCCTATCACCCTCATGTAGTCAGTTCAACTCCGGCCCATTCCCTCGACCAGTGTCCTGCCTGGATCGTGATTGCACCCTTGATGCTCTTACATCGCTCGCCCCTCGTGTGACTACAACTTGACTATCAGATCCGTAGAGGTCGATGCCTTCACTACACTTGCCAACATCCTCTCAACTCTAGCATTGCCTAGCAGTTTATATTTTTGTTGTTTTTATTTTGTTATTCTAACTTTTCGTTATGAAATTTAAAGATAATAATGCTTGATTATGCGAACTGTTTTGATTCATTATAATTAAAAGCATGATACATTAATATAAAATTATCATTATGTGTTAACATAATCTCTCTAATACTTTCATTGTTGACATTCTTAAAAATTAAAAGCATGATATACATTATAAAAATTATCTCATTGGAATGTTCTTATACCAGAACTATTTGTGTGCCATTTTGTGGAGTAAGATTAATACATGAATTAGTAAATTTATACATAAAATCATTTTTTTACATTACACATTAGAACGTAATTATTTAATTTATAGCTTTCTAATTAGTATGTTACGCATCGATTTTACTATTAATTAAAGTTTTATTCTGTTTGCGGGCCTTTCAATTAGAATAATGTTTTTTGAATGAAAGTTGTGTAACTCATGATGCATGAATTTTACTAAGGTCATTGGGTTTTAGAAGTTATGGAAAATTAAGGAAAACAAGAAAGTTTTTGTAGGTTATAAATCATGAATTTATTATGGTTAAGGAAGTTTTGTAAATTGTAATGCATGAATCTATCAGGGTCTTAGGTTTTAGGAGTTATGGAATTTAGAAAGCTATTGAAACCTTTATAAATCTAAACCATATTGTACAACTTTTAACGTCATAGCCTTTGTGAGGTTAGTAAAAATTCATTTTAAGCTTTTTATTGTGTTTATAGTCTATCTTCAATGTAAAAATGTATGATAATAATTATTAATAATAATAATAGTCCAACCATCAGTACAGTCTCTGGCAACCTCCGACACCCTGTGGTCATGGGGTTGCCCCGTCAGTAATAGTACCGACGATCCTTTTTTATAAAATAAAAGAAAAAATATGAGGAGTTTTCAAACATAAATAGATCAGATGCAGAGAAGAAACGAGTTACCTGTAAACTAGATGTTTTGAAAAGTTTGTCAAGAACTTTTTAAATACTAGCACTCTGTTAACAACAGAGGCATAAACTATTATGCTAATTTTTAGTTTAAACCATTGTTTCAATCTTAGGAAAATTATGATGTGGAGGCAATAATTGATGTTTTTCGAAAGAAATCCGATTATGGGAAAGCAGAACAATGGAAGAAAAACGAGTAATTTCAGATAGCTAGATTTCGAGATGCAACTTTGGAGGACGATATTTTTTGACTCGCTTCATGGATTCCTTATTATAATATGTTTTTGGAAAGCTCAAGAAGTTCTCTACACATAAAATTGATTATAATATTCCGATAAGTTTCAAGTTCTAAGATATTCGTCTTCAGGCTTAGCTGTGTGGGAAAATGCTGGGGTATGTCGGAGTGGTGGAGTCCAATTGGGATACACGTGCATTAAATGTATTTTAATTATCTTTGCTCAATACCAGTAAATTTATACTTTTGCCCTGATTTATACTTTATGGTATTTCAATTATCAGTATCAAATAATTTTCTCAATTTATACTTTATGGTATTTCAATTGTGTATGTGTGGGAAAATTTTGGTCGCTCATTTTGTGTTGCCGCCTAGGACTCCACCACTCCGACATACCCTAACATATTTTCATACTTTTCTTAATAATGACTAAATAGATATATATATTTTAATCATGACAACATTCACATATTATCTTCAGGCATTATGCCGTGAATAGCCTACATAATTTGCATCCAACTTCCACTACAGCCGTTCACTACGGTTTGACGACAAACATTATTATTCATAACTTAAAAGAATATTTTGTGACCTTTTTATTCACGAGGATAAGCTCATACTGTTCATATTGATGAGGAATTTTGTGCTGATGGCAGGTTCAGATATCTGTAATTCTCAAGCAAGATGTTGAATGATGTTGAATCATAATCTACAAGATTTCTATTTGAATATGTGTTTGATTGGACTATATTGAAGTACCAATCACAAATTGCTAGCACTCCTCCACGACCTCTTGTAAGTCTTGCATATATAGGCTTATTAATTTCTTGCAGATAGGTTTTCATTTGTTTTGATTTCTTTTTCTCTATCATATCAACATCTTGCTCATTTTTTATCTTCTATACAGAGTTCTGGAGTAGGACCTACTCTGGGTTGGCACCAATTCTTGGTAATGTTAATAGGCAATCTGGTCGTTGTTTTGCTAACTGTTCCTTTGGGGGTCTGCTATTAAGTTTGTTACATTTGTTTATGTCATAGAATACATTATGTTTAACTTTTTTATTAAAAAATTTCCTCCTTCATGTTTGCTCCAATACATGTTTTATCTATTTCCTGACCAAGTGCTTCTGTGCCAATTATTGTATTTCATTAACATGGTCATTTGTTCTTAGACCTAACATAGATAAAATGTGTTTATAATATCTTCATTTTTATTAACTACTGTCAAAAATACCTTTCCCAGACTAGCATTTACTAAATTTTGTACTTGAAAACTTTAATTTAGATGGTACAGAAGGGAGAACAAGTGGTTGGTTAGGAGACCCTTCTCGTCGTCATACATCGGAATAAGCCATAAATACAGACAGCTTACTAAAAAAACACGGGTAGCAAATAATTCAAAAGAGGCTTTGATGAATCAATAGTTCTATATGTCATTGTTTTTAGTCTATGATAAGTTTAGGTTCAGTGGATCTATGCGACATCTGAATTTCATTCTAATAAGAAACTTATTGGAGCCCAATCTAAAGTGAACTCTACAGTAAATATCATTTAAACCTGATCCATATCTGGAAAGACAATTTGTTTATTTTTAGTTATAGTCTCATGGTTTTCCACCTTTGGTTTCATCTGCAATTGATTTTATCAAAGATAGAACTGCTATTTTAAGAGTATGATTCTTTGGTTCTTTGCCTTCTCAAAAATTCTTGCTCTATACTATCTTCGCAATTTTTAAGAATCTTGCAGTTTACTTTGATTCGATGAATTTCATAGACATGTAATCAGAAAATCTCACGCTCGTAATAGGTATAAGTAGCTTACCGTTAGAAAGAAATTTGGAACCATTAAAGCTCAAAATATCCAATGATAAAGAGAGATACTTATAGTATCTCTATTGTTTATTGCATGACTATCAATTGTTTTGAGAAGATAGAAATAAGTAGGATTAAAGAAAAATGTAATTTCATTATTCAATCCTTTTGAATTTTTAAATTCTATCCATATGTTTGATACATGGTTTAAATTAAAGAAATCTTAATAAAATGAATCAATAATAAAATAATAAATTTAAAAAATTATCACGTGCATTGCACGTGCAATCCAACTAGTATATAGAAAAGAGAGAGTTCTAGTCTCTAAGTTTTAAACAAGAACTAGATAGTAAAAAACTAAAACTTTGTTATTTGTTTCTTTATATTTCATATTTCATTTCTCCATCATCTTAAAATCACACAATAAAATTAGATCACACGTCCTCTTACTATTCTATTTAATGTTACTTTTTATTTTGTTATTAAATATTAGAATTGTATAGTTAAATTTAAAACACAAAATTTATGTTTTATTAAAAATTAACTAAAATTGAGAGATGACGGAATGATTTCTAGCAGATTGAAAAAGAAAGGAAAAGGGGAAACTTTATTTTTTTTAATTTGTATTAAAATAGTAATTCCAAAAAATAAAAATAAAACTAAAAATATCTTATAGTCTATCGAATAGTTCTTCAAGATTAATTAACACTCACGTAAATAATTATTATTAATAAATAGTAAGTTTTAAAATATATAAATAGTAGTCTTATTATCAAAATGCATGACTTATATGCTTATTGAATATTGAAAATTATCCTTAATTTGTGCCACTAATATATCCTTTTTTTAAAAATTACTCCTAATTATCCCACTAAAATATCCCACTTTAAAAAATTATCCCATGCTTAAAATTACTCCACTTCTATGAAAAATATTCTAATTGATGACAAAAGTCTTATATCAAACTAGTTGTCTCCTTGTAGTTAGATATCCAAGTTTTTAGAATGCTCCAGATTCCACTTGAGCACCCACATCATGCCCAAAAGTGAACCAACCTCTTGGGCTGCTACGAAAAAAAAAAAACCATCAGGTTTTCAGAGAGGAACATGAATTTTCAGAATAAATGAGACGTCATTAGATAATTTGCCAGCTGGACAAAAGTTTGATAGGCCCAGATCCGGCACATCTTAAACCCGGCCCATTTTTGCTCACTTGGGCCATATGCGTCCATTCACATCTCCACCCCTCTTTCCCCCATTGGCGTAGGCGGGAAGGAGAACGAGGAGGACCATTTCTGCAAATAAAAAAGTTTTACACCACCACCCCGAAACTTTTCCGTCTCCTAGAAATTACCCTCACTGCAAATCAAATCAGCTCAAAAATTCCATCTTTTTCCGCCTAAAATCTCTTCAACATTTCAACTCCTGGCCTCGCAATCACTCCCCCATGGCTCGCGGCAGGGTAGTCTCCACTAAACCCTAATTTTTTTTATTAGTTTCTTCGAAATTTGATCTCGATTTGATCTCCAAATATAGGAAGCGTTGATCTTGCTCATCGATGTGGGCCCTTCTACGCACGGGGTTCTTCCTGAAGTCGAGAGCGTCTGCTCCATGCTCGTGCAGAAGAAGGTAACTGCTTGCTGACGTTGGTTTTTTATGTTAAGTCTATGCCTAGTTTTTGGGTTCCGATCATTAAAGAGTTTTGATTTTTTTTCAGCTAATTTTTGGCAAGAGTGATGAAGTGGGGATTATCTTGTTCGGTACAAAAGGTAAATTCTACTTTTAAAATTTCACACTGGAAAATCGAGTAGTTGAAGAATATTCTGAAAAGAGGATTTTCATGTTTTGTTCACTGGTATTGTTAGCATTATGTTCTGAGAAAGGGAATTTTTTGCATAACCTTTTAGCTTTAGTTTTGTTATTAGACTTGCCTCCGAGTCGGACATCCAAGCCACATCATTAAAACTCAATGCATGTAGGTCTGCTTCCTACAAATTTATTTCTCAAATCTAGTTATTTGAAGAGAAGTATGAAGCTAATAGCTGGAAACAATTCCAATATGTTAAAAAAAACAATAATAAAAAGATTTCTAGTACTTGGCCATGTAATGCACGAATACTGTAACCAAAATGCGCTTGCACTGCAGAAAGTAGCAAGTCTCATCAACAAGGTTAAGGTTTTAAATGTCAAATGTTGGGTTCATGTCGGGATGACTAAAATCCATGTGGGATAGCGAAAATCGGGGTATGTCGAAGGATATATACTAAATGTCCTAAATGTACTAAATTTCAGATTGACATTATATCGGGCATATGTATAATATAATGTCCTAAATGTAATCTAAACATACTTAATAAATTCTATAGTCTAAACATACATAAAAGTAAATAACACATGATATTTAGAGTCACTAACCCATTGTAGAAACTTGATTCTCGATTGCATCTTGAAACCATCCAATATTTAGTGCATATCAATTCAATTATATGAAACAAATCAACATTCCAACTCAAATATCTAACATATTTTTAAGTGTACAACTCAAATATCTGACTAATATGATAATATCTATATCTAACAATGACCAGAAGTCCAACAATTAATACAACACAGACTAAGAGAGAAAGAGAGACTGAGATGGATAGGGACGATGGGACAATGTGAGACTGACGGAGAGGGAGAGGTAGAGATCGAGAGAGAGATGTAGAGAGATAGGGAGAAAGAAAGAGTGAGAGATGTAGATATAGATTGAGAGAGAGAGGGATAGAGTGACTTAAGAGAAAATGAGAGACTGAGAGAACGAGTGGAGAGAGAACTAAGGGAGATCGATTGAGAGGTAGAGAGAGAGAGAGAGAGAGAGAGAGAGAGAGAGAGAGAGAGAGAGAGAGAGAGAGAGAGAGAGAGTAAGAAGGAGGAGTACCTGTGCAGTGGAAGCCTTAGTTTCGTTCAAATAGTGAAAGCCCTAATTTTTCTTGAAATAGAGAGATAGAGAACTTGAGAGATAGCTTAGAGAAAGGGAGAGAGAGAGAGAGAGTAGAGAGAGTATATACCAGAGAAATACGAAAGGAACTTTGGAAAAGACGCGGGGTCGAAGAGGAAGAGTTGAAGGAGGACGAAGTTGAAGAGGAATGATTGTGGGAAAAGAAGCCCTAAACGGTAAGCATAGGAGAAATTTAGGTGTTTTAAGCTTGTTATTAGGTCGGGTTAGGTTTGTAGCCACCTGAAAACCCAACCCAAGCACTCAAAAAACAAAACCCTCATATCAGGCATAATTTTTGGTTTGAAATTACGCCCGACATTGTTGATTCTAGCCCACATGTCCTCAATTAGTCCCCAAAACACCATGCGCTTTCAAATGTCACATATCGTGGCGGTTTGGGTTGAGAGCCGCTATGTCGGCCGTCATGTCGGACATGGCGGCCGACATTTAAAACACTAAACAAGGTAAGCAATACACGATGATAACCAATACACGATGATGATTTATGTGTAATTTGGTGTAGTTAAAGTGGTCAGCATCAATGGTCTGCAATTAGAGCAATGACCTGAAATGTTGCTTCTTTTAAGCCATTTTCGAGGTAGAATCTTGCATGTGGATTCGAGCCTTGAATTTCAGTACTTCAATATGAAGCTCAACCCCGGTAGCTTCATGCTTCCTATGTCTAATAGATTCCAGTACTTCTTTCACAACAACCATATTAGTTAATTTAATTTTTATAATTTTTCATTAGTCGATTTAATACAATGCGGAAGTAATAATCTTGGAATCCATCAAGGTTCTTTGAATCCACAAAAAACAATCTTCTAATTCACAAAGAAAATATAATAAAGAGAAAATTTTATTGATAAAAAGTTATGCCTTTAGGGCTAACAATCCTCTGTTTACATAAAAAACAAACAAGATTCCTACTAGAACCCGAACTTTACAAAAAAATAGAAATAATGAAACTCTGCTTAAAAGACTTTCTGTGATTGGGGAAATAAATCGATCAAATTTAGAATCAAATCGAATTTATTTCCTAATCAAAACAGACTCCTAAAACATTACCTAAAATAATAAAAATTGACAAATTTTGATATCTCTCAACCCGGAGGAAATTTCGCTTACATACAACGGCAAACCGAACAACGGTCAGTTTGGTTGACCCCATCTCAAAAAATTATGTAATTTTCATATATAATTAGTTCAATTCCGACGTATGGTTTGGATGACATTATTCATTTTTTATTGCAAGTTATTTTCTTCTGCAGGGTCCGCGTTTAAGCTTCTGAAGGTCCAGTTTCTTCATGAATATAACTGCAGTGTGTTCTACACCAGTCTCCTCTGCTTGAAAAGAGCTCGACCCCGAGCTTATATTAATATAAAAAGTTGTTCCTTCTGGCGAGTAATACTCAAACAAATCCGCAACATTGAAACTAGGAGAAATAGCCAAATCTTCAGGAAAGTTAACGACATAAGCATTGTCGCTAATCTTCTTAAGTATCTTGCATGAGCTATATTTTTTTGTCTTTAGCTTAATGTAAATTCCCATTGGAAAACGCTCTTTTTACAGAAACACCATCAACATGTCATCTTCCTCAAGCACATTCTTCCTCCTGTGTTGATCAACACCCGTCTTGTATTTAACATTAGACTTCTGTATCTGTTCTTTCACTTCTTATTGGATAACTCGTATCTTTTTAGCTATATGATCTGCAACAATACTCTGTCCCAAAAGTTTAGGAAGTGGAATTAGTCAAGATAATAGTTCAGAAGCCTCCTATATAGAATACGAAGGGAGTTCTCCTTGTAGTTTAACTCTCCATGTAATTGTAAACAATTTCAGCATTTACCAGAGCAAGATCGCATAGCTTTGGACGATCGTCAGAGATAGATTTGAGAAGGTTACCAAGAGTGTGATTTACCACTTTAGTTCGGTCGCCTGTTTGAGGGTGGTAAGCAGTACTAAATTGGAGTGAAGTATTGAATTGTTGTCACAATGTCCTCCGGAAGTGGGATAAGAACTTAGAATCACGATCAGAGACGATAGACTTTGGCACTCTATAAAGACACACTATCTCCCGAAAGAAAAAATTGACAATGTTACTAGCATCTGCTATCTTCTTGTATGGAATAAAGTGTGCCATCTTTAAAAAATATGTCAACCATAATAAAAACAGAATCCATACATTGTTGGATTCTAAAGAGTCCCAATACAAAGTCCATCGAGATATCATGCTATGGCGTATCAGCGCTGTAATAAATAGTGATAAATAACGCTACAATAATGGTGCTAATAGCGTTAGCGGTTCCTTCCCACTACGCTATCATCCAACAGTAGTGATATATTACTGAATATGCGCTTTTCGCTCATAAAAGCGGCTAATAGCGCTACGTAGCAGTGAATTGCGGCCAATTATGGGCAAAATCCATTTTTAACCGTTATTTAAAAGCGATTTGAGGTTTATTTTTTTAAATTAAACTCGATCTGTAACCCCTGCATCCCACCGCCCGTCGCCTCCCACAGCCTTTAGGATCTCCCTCAACACTTCCTCTCACCTCGTCTTATCGTGAGCTCCTACTGCAGTCTTCTCCCCGCTCAGCTCCTCTTCTTAAAGATGATGACTCTTTGACTCCTCCAATCATCTTCAGTGTTATGTGATGATTACATGTCTATTTCATGTTTAGGATCTCTTTAAATCATTAAATATGCACTTTTAGATTTTCTTAATTTTTTTTATTTTTTAAAATATTTATACATATTTAAATTAAATCGCTATTTGACTTTATACTTGTTACCGCTATCTTGTCGCAATGGCCCCAAATAGTCTTAGCGTCGCTACGCGAAGCTATCCACTATCGATAACTTTACGTTTCAGGAATAGGTAATAGAGTGTACAATCCTGTGTTTTGGGACTGTCCCTCGGTAACTTGACAAACTGGACAACGCTGTATGTAATTTTTTGTCTCCTTCAGCTGAGGCCAGTAGTATCTCTCCTCAATGGAAGCTATTGTCTTATCACGCACCAGATGTTCTCCTAACCTACCAGCATGAAGATCTCATATGATCTAGTCTCTTAGTGAACTCTGCAGTATGCACAACTGATCTCCACGAAATAAATAACCATCATGGATATAAAAACTTTTGGCTTATTGTTTCTTTAGACAGTTGTTTCGAGCCTTCTTGAAGTCTTCGTCTTTTACATGGAGCTCCTTTATGTATTGAAATCTAGTCACTTCTGCCTGTAAAGTCACCAACAAAGCAACTCTCCAACTGAGTGCATTTGCAACGTTATCCTGCTGTTTAGACTTATGCTTCAAAACAAAGGTGAAATGTTGCAGAAACGCTGTCCATCGAGCATGCATACAATTGATAGTAGTTTGACTATTGATGGACTTTAAGGTCTAATGGTCGGTGTTGAGTAAAAACTCTTTCAAAATCAAATAGTGCTCCCAATACTTCAAAGACTGGACTGTGGTGTAGCTCATATGTGGTTAGTTTCTGCCAAGCTTCATTGAGTTTCTTGCTATAGAAAGTAACTGGACATCCTTCTTGAGATAGGATGCCACCAATTCCTACGATGGACGCATCACAATCAACCCCGAACATCTTTTGAAAATCTGGAAATGCGAGCACTGATGCTGTTGACAACTTCTCCTTGATTAGTGCAAAGCTACGATTTGCATCTTCCTCCAAATTAAACTCATCTTTCTTTATGCACTCAGTAATTGGCGCAACGATGCTGCTAAAGTTTCTGACGAATCTCCTGTATAAGGTTGCTAGACGATGAGAGCTATGAATTTCGCTAACAATCTTTGGCTTGGGCCAATCTCGAACAACACACACCTTTTCCTCATCAACATGAATGCCTTCTGCACCGACTACAAAACCCAAGCATAATAGACTACTGGTCATGAAGTTACACTTTTTGAAATTGATATACAACTTGTTCTCTTGCAAAGCCTTTGGCACCTCCCTCAAGTGGTCCAGATGCACAGACTCATTCTGGCTATAAATTAGGATATCATCAAAATAAACTATAACGAACTTGCCGATAAAGGGTTTTAATATTGATTTATCAACCGCATGAAAGTACTAGGAGCATTGAAAAGGCCGAAAGACATGACCAACCACTCATACAAACTTTTTTTGTCTTGAATACAATCTTCCACTCATCTCCTCTAATGCAAATTTGATAATAACCATTCCAGAGGTCAATTTTAAAAAATACTTTTGGTCGCGCTAACATATCCGACATGTCTTCCAGGCAAGGGATAAGAAATCGATATTTCACGATAATCTTATTTAATAGCCTTACTATCCACGTACATGCGCCACTCTCCGTTCTTTAGGACAAGTAATGCCGACACGACACACGGACATATGCTAGCTCGTATATGGCCTTTCTGGATGTGATCGTTCACTTATTTTTGTAAGATATCTCCTTCCTTCAGGTTCATCCAATAGTGTACCAGATTTGATAAGCGTGATCCAGGGATGAAGTCGATCTGATGTTGGACGTCTCAAAGCATCGGTAACTCGGCAGGAAGTTCCTTTGGCATATCTGCATCAAACTATTACAAGAGGGTATGCACTTCAACTGGAATTTTAGTGGGGGTAGAATCCTTTTTTCTTGATACAAGAAGAGCATAAATCTCTTTTAGACTATTTCAAATCTTTTATGAAATATTCATTGTCAACAACCAAAAATGTCTTCTTTTCAGCAACATTTATCCTACCTAGCCCCTTCTATGTAAGAGGCATGAGCACAACTTGACGTCCATCCTTCGTAAAGATATAAATATTGTCTTTTCCCCTATGCGTGGTATCAACATCGAACTGTCATGGCCTACCTACCAGCATATGATAAGCATTCATCTTAACCACATTGCACAACACCTAATCAATGTAATTATAGCCAATGGAAAAAGTACCCGACACACTTCATCAACCTGCATGTTATTGTTGTTACGAATTCAACTGATCTTGTAAGTACCGCATTGTTTCTCTGTTTTCAAACCTAATTTCTCCACCATACGCCGAGAGACAATATTCTCGCTATTGTCGCTGTCAATGATAACATCACAAGTCTTTTACATCATAGTGCATCTCGTGTGGAATATATTATGCCTATGAGGCGGTTCTTTTGTCTTTGGAGCTAGTAACAATCGTCGCACAACACACGAAAGTTGATCCCCATCATTAGGATTTTCAACCTCCTCATTGCCATAGCCTTCAACGTCATCTTGGTCTGCATCCTCTTCGCCATGATCCATCACATTCACAGTATTTCTTTTAGGGCACTGATTGGATCGATGACTAGGTTGACAACATTTGTAACACTTGATTGGATCTTGTTAAGCATATGAATTTGCCGGTGTAGCCTTCTTTGCTGTTGTTGTTGCCGGTCATGTACCCTTCTAAACTGCAGAATCTTGATTAGGACGAATTGGGACTGTTTGTTCCCACCACGATTATAATTTGTGCATGAATCCTCTGAAGCTGCCCATAATCCTCGATTGTTCCGTCTAAGTTATCGCTCCACCTTTTCGAATGACTGTCTACCAAAATATATGTCCGTTGCAAAGACACACGATTTTGAATTGCTATCCATAACCCCTCGATATAATTAGACATTTATTAGGCTTCGTTCTCGTTCAAATTGTTGTGGGATGCCAGACGATAAAATTCCTACTTGCACTCATCAGTTTTTCTCATATTTTGTTTACAATTTTGGTATTGTCCATACAATACTCGTTCGTAGTCACTAGGTAGAAAACGGGCTTTCAGCAACTTCTCCATCTGCTCCCACTTATCGATTTTCAACGTTTGTTAACGAGATCAATTCATGCATACTAATTCCCAGCAAGTAGATGCTCCACCCTTAAGTCGGTAGGTCACCAACTTAACCTTCCCTTGATTTGGGATCTCCATATACTCGAAAAACCTCTCCACCTCTGCAATCCAATCAAGAAATTCTTCAATATGGAGTTGCCCGTTGAGAGATGGCAGATCCATCTTCATCTTGAACCCTCTAACATCATAATTGTCCCATCATTAGTGGTCTCTGCAATCATAACCCCAGTGTGGGGCTTCATAGTCATCATTGTCACTGTTGAATTCATCCTGTGGAGTCAGATCACATCTTTGGCGATCATTAACGCGATTTTGAACTCCTACCATGTTCAGACGCACCATTGCCGACGCAAGTTGATCTATGGTAGTTTTTGTCTGATTAACATCGGCCTTCAACTCATCGAACTCAGTTCAGAAAATAGGGGTTTTGCTGCCTGCCATCGGGCCGAAGAAACATGGCTCTGATACCAATTAACGCAACGCGAAAGTAATCAACCTCAAAATTCACTAAGGGTTGATCTCTAAATTCACAAAGAATAATATTTGAATCCTGAAGAATTTTGAATCCACAAAAAAACTACAATAAAGAGGTTATGCCTTTTGGGCTTATAATCCTCGGCTTAAATAGAAAGCAAATGAGACTTCTACTAGGACCCGAATTTTACCAAAAATAAAAATAACAAAACTCCCCTTAAAAGACTCGTTATGACTGGGGGAAAAATCGGTCAAATTTAAAATTAAATTTTATTTTCTAATCAAAATAGACACCTAAAATATTATATAAAATAGTAAAAAAATTGATAAAAACTCTGATATCTCTCAATCTGGAGGGAATTTCTGAAACAGACGGCGACAAACTAAATAACAATCAGTTTGGTTGACTTCGTCTTGAAAAAAACATGCGATTTTCATATATAATTCGTCCAATTTCGACGTATAGTTTGGGAGAGATGACATGTTCTTCGTTACAAGTTATTTTCTTCTGTCAGGTCCGCTTTTGGGCTTCTAATAGTGCAGTTTCTCCATGAATATGTCTGCAGTGTGTTCTACATCACAATTCAACAATACTTGTGGTAAATCACGAAATAAAATCCAAAAGAGGTTGTAATTAACATTAATCCCTTAGGGTGAAATTTTATAGGCATCGGATGCTTGGGGAGTAGATTATTCTTCATTAGGCATGAGCAATTCATGAATCCGTAACGGTGTCTGACAATCCAACACCTGTATTGAAAACCGGTACTTCCTTGGACACTTGTTGGATATGTGCATATGCTCATTCACACATGTCGTCAATTATATAATGCATGTTTTAGATTAAAACACTCATTATACTTCTTGGACATTTAGTCATCATATTATGCTCAAAATATCTATTTGTTTTCACTTATACACCAAAGACTATACTGGAAGGTGATATAAAATATTGACATGTATAAAACTATGTCTACATGTCTTTTATTTTGTATAAAGTTGAAGAGCCAAGTTATATTCCCTTTGCATAGTGATAAGGTTGCATGGTATGTCACAAAATAGCATTTATGTAATCATTATATGTTTTATTATTAGAAGTAATTGTTTAGCCTCTTGGACACATGAAGATTTGTATACAAACTCTCTTTGTTATTATAATTACATACACATATTCTAATGTAATGTTATCCTGTTGTTGTCTTGTGATATATGCTTGAAAATGGTTCTAAGTCAATATTTATTGGCATATTCCTATATCAATAGTTAGATGCTACATTTTATATACAACACTTTTCTTCCATGCTACTAACAGCATATTCAGTTATTCAATTTTCTATGTACCTTAAGTTCATCCGACTGGATGAATGTGGGTGTGGATGTGTCTACAAGTGCATTGAAATTAATCATCTGTGGTCATGCTCACATGCATGCTTGTGCTGTGAGCATGCCTTATATTGGGTTGAGATTCAGTATGATATATAGTTTGGCATCTAATACGTTATTATTATTGAGATTTGTTGCTTATTCATGCAGTGTAATTTGTTGAATTCTCAGATACTGACAATGATCTGGAGAAGGAAGTTGGTGGCTATGAACATGTTGTAGTTAAACGAAATATCAAAGTTGTAGATGTGGATGCGGTTGATATACTACAAAATCTTCCCAGAGGGACTGGTAATGGTGATTGTATCCAATATCAGTTTCTTGTGGAATTTTTAGGCATATCTTGCATTTTGGTTGTCAGGTGGTGCACCTACTTCACATGGTTATAATCACAAGTGTGCCACATTCACGTCAAATATGTTTTTACCTGATCTTCATCGGATTTGTTATCTTGAAGTTCTTTGAGCTCTCACTAACTTGTAAAAGTATCTGGTGCTTCATGCTTCCTGTTTTGAAAGGCATGCTTTAAGTCTTCATCTAAAGATAGTGGGCTTCTCTATGATCTTATGTCTAGCAATGCTTCTTGCTGTTGCTCGTTTGGATTGTTTCTTTGCATGAACAAAGCTGTCCTGCCGTTACAGGAATCCTATTTATTTGTTTTAGTCTTTCTTCATAGTCTTTGTTTTACTTTCCTTGACTCTCTGCTAGTTTTGGATGCTGTTATTGTTGGAATGGATATGTTAATTAAGAAATATGGTATCACAAACAAGGGAAAACAACGCCTTTGTCTTGTTACTGATGCAAAACATCCAATTAAAGCTCCAAGTGAAGGAACAAAAGAAGATCAGGTTCACATTGTTTGTCAACAGATGCAAGATCATGGAATGAGGCTGGACTGTGTCATTATCAGGGAAAATTCATCTGAAACTGCAAGTCAGAAGATAATTGATGAAAATGATTTTTTATTAAGACTGTTCACGGAGAAGACAAAAGCAAAAGCCATATATGTTAGTAACCCAACAGCGTTGTTAGGTGCTCTTCGGACTCGAAATATATCCCCAGTTACTGTATATAGAGGAGATCTGGAGTTAAGTTCAACGATGAAGATCAAGGTGATATTGCAAACTAATCACTTTATTATTTGTTAACTGAATGTTACTGAATTTCATTTATGCATTTCTGCATTTCTACTAGTGTTTGGTTTTTTCAAATGTTGAAGACTTGTATGTATGCATTTCTTTTGCTTTCACTAATACAACAAGTATATTCAACTAAATATTGGCATCTGGACGCGTTTATGCTTATGCAGTACTTTATAAGTGCACATTTTCTCAAATTCGAAAAGATCTCCTTTGATTGTATGGATCGCACTCAAGTAAATGGGATAAGGACTTCAAATATAGTTAATACTGCATTGGATCCATTTAGATTGTTATGTGATACTCAGTTTTACCTTTTTCTATGAGTAAATAAGTCTTAATGTCTTATTGAGTAGGTATTCTTTTTCACTGATGAGTAGTACTATCTAACAATTCCTTATCAACTTGATAATGTTTTCATATTACTTTTTTTTGTATATTTTTAATTTATCACTGGAAAATTGGACCCCGATCATCTAAACTAATCTCTTTTCCTCCTGAAGAGATCTATCATGTTTATATTGGTTTTTCAACCCGAGCTTTTCTTATTGCATTATTTCTTTCTATTCACATAATATATTTGGATAGTATAATATGTGATGTGTTTTGTTTCAAAGTTCTTTTGCCTATATAAAAACATACAGTCTTCTCACCATGGTTCTATGCGGAAAGATTTCAGTTTCAGGTTTGGCCCTGGCCAGAAGCAGAAGAAAAATCAGTTTTCTTGGCCATTCTTGTTTGGTATTGGATTTTCGGAAAAAAATGAATTCTAAATCTAAACCTCATTAAAAAATACAAAATACAAGAGTAGAAAACTACTATATCTTGAGCAATTACTTCTTTTTTCCTTATCTGAATGAAATATTTATTGACCTACTTTAGAAGAATGCTGGAAACAATTAGTAAAACTGACAATTACAACTTCATGTCCAAAATGCATTATAGCTGTGCAGTCAATGATTAAGCTTTGTGTTTTGGACCTTTCTTTTGTTCCTATATCACATTTGCAGTCATGTGGTTGATCTTTTATTATGTTTACCCATTCTGTGGCATCACTTAGTATTGGTGTCATGAGACATAAAACTGATTTGCAAAATATTACTTGAATGCAGCCAATGTAAACTCTGCTTTACTGTAAAAATATATCTTTATAATCTTCTACTTCTCATGTTCTTTAATGCAGGTATGGGTATACAAGAAGACATCAGAAGAAAAGTTTCCTACATTGAAGAAATTCTCTGACAAAGCACCTCCAACTGATAGATATGCCACTCATGAAGTCAAAATGGATTTTGAATACAAAAGCATTGAGAACCCTGAGAAAATTGTTCCTCCAGAGCAAAGAATCAAGGGTTATCGTTATGGACCACAAGTTGTTCCTATATCACCTGCAGAATGGGAGGCAGTCAAGTTTAAACCTGAGAAAAGTGTGAAGGTCTTAGGATTTACAGATGCCTCCAACATAATGCGGTGAAAATCTACTTTACCGTACTATGAAATGGATTATTAGTTAGTAACAGATTGCTATGTCTTTCATTTGCAAGAAACCTTGAAAATGTGCACATCTCAGGAATATGCCTCATATAATTCTATGGCAGGAATATGCCTCACATAATTCTATGGTTTAGTTATGATGAATAGTTACTACTTATGAGAAATATTTCTTAGTTTCTTTACATAAATGTTGAAGAATTCATACATGCATACACGTTTTATGTAGGAACATAAATTTCTTTGCTAGAATTAGGGAGAAGGATGCACGAAGTATTTTACATCTCAGAACTAAATTCCTTAAGCAAAAGCTTGCACAGTATCAAGGTCACTAGGAGAGACCACCAACATATCCTTAAAACTTTTAACTGTATTAAATATGCATTTTTGAAGTCAATGAAAATTTGTGCTTTGATTTGACTATATCTTCTGCCTGATTTTTGCTGAAACTTTTTATATGAAAATACTTCAGCTCATGTCATAAAGCTAATTATTCGTTTCATGGCAATGAAAATTCTTTGGAGACTTTTCGGAAAAATGATTTTTTAATTTTTTTTCATTTCCAACTTTGATGAAGGCACTATTATATGAAGGATGTCAACATCTTTATTCCCGAACCGGGCAATACAAAAGCCATTGTTGCATGCTCTGCCATAGCAAGAGCAATGAAACAAATGAACAAGGTTGCAATTTTGCGGTGTGTATGGAGGCAAGGTCAAGGAAATGTTGTTGTCGGTGTGTTGACACCCAACATATCCTGCAAGGATAATATTGTAAGGTTTTTCTTTTTTTCTTCTCCATGAGTTCTTCTTGCCTTACTCAATAAGGCTGTGATCTAGTTTATGCTTTGCTTGTTCATTCATTTAAGAAAAACATGGATTGTTTGAGCAGCCAGATTCATTTTGCTTCAATGCACTTCCATTTGCGGAGGATATTCGGGAGTTTCAGTTCCCATCATTTAGTAATTTTCCTTCATCATGGCAACCAAATGAGCAACAGCAAGAGGCAGCAGACAACCTTGTTAAGATGCTAAATCTTGCACCTGATGATAAAGAAGAAGCATTGCAGCCTGATTTTACACCAAATCCAGTCTTAGAGGTAAAGGGCTTGAAAGAGATTCTGGTACTTTTTATGCTGCATATCATTCTAGTTCCTTTCATGTTGTATGATTTAATGTCTAGAAATGATTGTTTAAAAAAATTTAAAATTTATCTTGACTGTTTACATTTACCTTGGTATGTTTGCTTTAGTGTTGGAATTTATTTTGTTTCCAAACTTCATTCACTGAACAATATAATTTATCCTAAGACTGATTAATATTTTATCTTTAATATGGATGTTGACAGTTTCCTCTTTTTTTTTTTTGGGTTCTTGGGCTAATTCATCTTAAAAAGTAAATATTATGCTGAATTTATTTATTTATATTGTGGCTTAGAATGAAGCAGTTTTTTGTCCGAGCCTGACACATTTATTTCCTATACATGGATTTGGGCTTGGGAACTGAACCGATATGTAGGTGGCCTGGGTTTCATCTCAAGAAAATAGAAAAGTTCAAGATAAAGGCTTGTGCCCATAGCCACCCTATTTTCATATGCACAAAACAACTGGGTCAACATGTTCAACACAAGATACTCAAGCCTAATGACCTTATACTAGCCTTCTTCCTCTCAAATTATTATTGCATCTGATAGTTTTTTTTGGCTACATCTTGACTTCTCATCATTAATCAATTATATATATAAAGAACATCCTGTTGCATAATGCATATTAATCAATAATACAGGAAGCTAAACTTCACTAATATAGTTATATTTTCATTATTTTAAGGCATAGTTGCAGAAGTTTTAAGTTTTTTGATAGAGTCCGTGAAAATATATTATTACTGATATTGCTCTTGAATTGAACTATGGTTGGAAATGTTTGGCAAATTGGATATCGCTCTCCTGACAAGCTGGTGATAATATAAATATGCAGCGCTTCTATCGCTTTCTTCACTTAAAATCAAGGCTGCCAGAGGCGGAGGTTCCTTCCCTTGACAGAAGTCTTAAGAGGATAACTGAACCTGATCCTGAAAAGTTATCAGAGTGTAAACCTGTGATTGAAAATTTTCGCACCCAATTTGAGCTGAAGGAGAATCCCAAGGTCTTACCATTTCCTAGTGCATTTTTGCAATTTTAAGGGCACGAAGTATGGAATGTTTTTCTCATTTTAAGACGTGCCTGCATTGCAGAAAAAGAAATCCTCTAAGCGAGCTTGGAGAGAGAAATCCTCAGTTTCAGATGAAGAAGTGGGTGCTGATAGTAAGGTTCCTGAAAATGGAAGTGCAAAATTGATCGAGAACTCATCTCCGGAAAAGGTTCAGAAAATTGGGGATTTGAACCCTGTCCAAGATTTTGAAGCCATGATAGCTCGCAGAGATAGCTCAAAGTGGGTTAGAAAAGCAATCAAAGAGATGCAGGATTATATATATAACCTGCTAGAAAATTCTTATGAAGGGAACACTTATCCGAAGGCAATTGAATGTTTAGTTGCTCTTCGTAGAGGTTGCATTCTTGAACAGGTAACCTTCTTTCATGCATTTTATGAAACTCTTATAGTAGTTTAGTGACTTTCCTATCTCTTGGGAAGTTACTTCTCCTACTGTTAATCTTTTTCCCGATACGAAGTCATTATAAATTCTGCATTTAAGCTCAAAGTTTTCAATCTCATCAGGAACGCAATTGGAAATATTTTATTTCATGTTGATATATGTCATAGGTATCAGTTGAAGATTGAGCTAACATTAATGACATATATAGAAATTGTCATGAAACTATAAGAAAATGATACAAGGATTTTGAATTTAAAGGAAAATCTGAATATTTTGCAAACTGTGCCTCTGTAACTCGTGCAAAAATGATTGTCTCTTCTTGTTTCATCAAACTAGTAATATTTGTGAATCCTCTTAAACAGAGTTGTGTTAGTAAATATTGGGTCTCAACTACTACATATTATTTATGCATAATGCACATGTGGCGGCCTTAAATCTATTTGTTGAATATCTAAGATTCAGAAGCCTTTTAATGAACATAGTTAAACTAAATATAGATTTTTAGTGTTTGAATTTTATTTTCCGGAGTTATGGGCCTCTTTTAACATAGAGAAACTTCTTGTATTTTAGAGGACATAGTCCTACCAGCATGTAGTCCGTTCATTTTATTGAAACCGGACATTCTTGCTCATGGAATTTCATGTTTTAATGCCCATATATCTCACATCATCCCCCTAGGAGATGAGAATTGGTGAACTGTAGTTGGTATACTCCATAATGAAGAATAGTCACAGATGCCAACTCTTATTTTTTGGGGTTGTGATTTCTGAAATATGTACCCTTCTAGTCTTCTACTGTTCCCATCGCACATCCGCACTACAAGTGATTACGGTTGAATTTATTCCTCTGGTTTAGTGTCAGAGTGATAATACAAAATGAGCTACCTGCTCATTGCCATCTAAGCCCCCACTCCGATGTGACTAGCAGGGGCTCACATGGCATTGAGCTGGCAGCCCATTTTGTAAAATGAGTTGTTAGCTCATATCCATTCCCCCGCACACACTGTGTGTGTATATAGTCTTTTATGGGTATTCATTTTGCAAAATGGGTTATTAGCTCATTAATATATTTTATTTTCTCCCCACACGTGTGTGTGCGCGCGGCGCATTGATATATATATATATATATATAATATATAGTATATATATATTATATATATATATATATTTATATATATAAATATAGATAGAGAGCGAGAGAGAGAGAGAGCAGAATGATTCTTATGTCAATTAAGTGGCACACCAACCTTATGTTCGACCAAAGCTTTCTATCCACTCTTTAATATATATAAAAGACTTCTTCATATCATGCAAGGAATCCCTGAAGCCAACATGATGGATACAACTTTGCTGGACCAATCCACTTAAGTTGCACATAAGAATTGCCTTCATCATCTCTCTCTCTCTCTCTCTCTAACTCTATATATATATATATATATATATATATATATATATATTATATATATATATATATATATATATATAATATAGATATATATATATTATATTTGTCTTTGTATGGGTATTTAGCAATAGGTTGTAGTTCTTTCTTGACTAGGGTCATTCTATTTAGTTTTCCTAGGAATATGATGTGCATTTGTATATTCACCTATTTAACTAATATGCTTATGATTCTTCTCTAGGAGCCAAAAGAGTTCAATCGATATCTGCATCACATTTATGAAAAATGGAAGACTACTGACCTTGTTGACTTTTTTAACCTTATTGCTTCTAAAAGCATCACCTTGATTAGCAAAAGTGAAGCAGCTGACAGGTATGTTTAAAGTGAGAGCTTATCATCTTCATGGATTCGTTTAGGTTTATAACTCTCTTGCATGCTTTATCAGTGAAGTGACTGAGGAAGAAGCCAAAAATTTCCCAGTGAAAACTGAGTTATATGGAGGTACAGAAACTCACTTCCTGTAAATACTCACCTTTTTCGCTTGTGCAAAGCATATCTAGTTTCTCATTCCTAACGGAAACGATGAGAGAAAATTTTATAAAATGACGCTGAACTCTGGGGAATTTTGCACAAAACTAGTATAAACAATTTTTTATCAGATAAAATTATCAATAACTCTCAAAATTACAGAAAAGTATCCTGAACTATTGAATGTTGTCAATGGCATTAACATCTTGGATAAATGGTTTGTATTACCCTTGTCTACATAGGCAGACAAAAGACACGACTCACACGCGTGCGCCCGCCCCCCGCCCCCCCCGCCCGCCCCAGTCCCCGCCGCCACCAATACACAAACATACACATGCAACCCCCCCCCCCCCCCCCACCCCCACTCCCCCCCCCTCCCCCCACACCACACTTGCACATGCCTCAAGCGGGCATCATTGTTGCATGATTGCGCAGTTGAAGAAAAGTTCATGGTAATTTTCTGCAATAAATTAATTATGGTAGTTTTGTGCAAAATAACCCAAAGTTCCTGGTTGCTTTGTCAAACTTAACCCAAATTATATTTTGGATTAACCACACTGATTGCAGACTCAGACTCCAGAAGCCAAATTTTGACAAGCTGAATTCAGCTTGGGTCAAGGGCTTAACTTGTCCGGTTGTTATTGAGGCTGTGTATTCAAAAGATCTCCAGAACTGTGAAGCAACAGGGCGTTTCCATGGGTTTGTACGTTAGGGCTTCAGTGTTATTAGAATGCTAGAAAACTGTGAAACTTATGGCCATTTGCAAATATAATACAGCATTTTGAGAGAAACTGCTGCGCATGTAGATATGGAGTTTCTTTTTTTCTTGGTTCTCTTGTCTTGCCACTCCAACCATTGAAAATGTCATGCGATTTCGGTTTATAAATACTCTCAGAGTTTCACTATTTTGTATCAAAAACTTTCTGAATGTTTTTTTTTTTTGGCTGACAGAAATACTTTGAATATTGTTAAGTTTTACGTTGTTACTTTAGGTACCGTTTGGCAAAGGGTTAAGTGAGGGGTTAAGGAGATTTAACCCCTTCTTAACCTGGCAAACACAACAAATCTATATAAGGGTTAAAGTGAGTTAACCCTCCATAATTTGCCAAACATAAAAAATATAGAAGGGCCCTTTAGAGGGGTTAAAATGAGTTAACCCCTCAAAATGAGGGGTTTACTAATACTCCTATTTAGATAGAATAAGAGTTAACCCTTCTAATTATAAAGAAAATAATCAAAATCATTGTTATTCCCAAACACTAAAACTGATCATAAGGGCTAAAATAAAACTTATTTAACGGGTTAATAATTTAGTCTTTCAGATTATCAAATGGGCTAAGTACATTAATCCTTCTCTTTAACCCCTCTTCATTAACCCTTTGCCAAAAGGGGCCTTAGTGTCCAAACATCACCATGTGACATGATGCACATATAGATGCATGGATGGCTTTGCTCTTGACTTGACTTGACATACCCATCACGCTCTATACATCTGTCTCCCAGTATTTCTACTGAATCCAAATACTATTTTCCAGATAGTGGGAAAATTGAAAATGTTCTGGTCCACTCAGATGATAGAACTACAGGGGGCCTATCCGCAATTGTGCTAAAGTATAGGGGGGCCCATCCTCAAATGATAGAACTACAGGTGTCTTCCTCGTTGGGAGCCTCTACTAATGAAAAGCTCTTAGTATCTCTTAATAAGGAGATCATAACCTTTCATTCTCATCATAGCCTTTCATTTTCTCACTCATCCTTGTGGGCCCCTCTCCCAACTCTTCACAATTCTCATTAGAAAATATTAGTATTAGTAGAGGATCCCAG